CCGCGACTCGTAGATGGGGAGCCTACATATTCGGTACATCGTATTCTGGACTCGAGACGGAGGGGACGAGGATTTCAGTACTTGGTGGACTGGGAGGGTTACGGTCCGGAGGAGAGAAGTTGGGTTCCTGCTAGAGACATTCTGGATCACTCCCTTATCGATGATTACAATCAACAGGTAAGTGTGGCTGGGAACGCCAGGAGGCGTTCCTAGGGGAGGAGGTACTGTCACGGTTCATGAATCCACTGTCTCATTCTGATGTTTGTGTGTGTGTGTATGTGTGGGCGTGGTTACTAATTCCATTGATTGTCAGCACCAGCTGCGATTCATCACCGCTTCCTATATAATGTCAGTAATTTCAGTCTCATGTTGTCAGATCGTTGTGGCTTCCCCGGTGTTGTGTCCTGTTCCTGTGTGGCTTCAGTCTTCTCCTCGTGTGGATTTCCTGTCTCCGTGATCGTCGTCGTCTTTACGTCTTCACGGTTGGATTGTTTATTGTTCCTGGTTCCTGTCACTGAGCACGCCGATCATCATCACATCTCTCCGGGTTGCCCATCAACGTCCCTGTGTCTCACCTCCACCTGAGTGTTTGTTCCCCGATCTGTGTGTCACCTGACCAACTTGAATAAACAGTTTTACTTGCTATTGTTTCCTACTGTTTCATAACAAGATGTGCTAGGGTTATAGGATTAGTACCCGGTGGATGTCGACTGTAGATGTGCTAGGGTTATAAGGTTTAGTACCTGGTGGACGTCGACTGTAGATGTGCTAGGGTTAAAGGATTAGTACCCGGCGGATGTCGACTGGAGATGCGCTAGGGTTATAGGATTAGTACCTGGCGGACGTTGACTGTAGATGCGCTAGGGTTATAAGGATTAGTACCTGGTGGACGTCGACTGTAGATGTGCTAGGGTTATAGGATTAGTACCCGGTGGATGTCGACTGTAGATGTGCTAGGGTTATAAGGATTAGTACCTGGTGGACGTCGACTGTAGATGCGCTAGGGTTATAGGATTAGTACCTGGTGAACGTCGACTGTAGATGCGCTAGGGTTATAGGATTAGTACCTGGTGGACGTCGACTGGAGATGCGCTAGGGTTATAAGGTTTAGTACCCGGTGGATGTCGACTGTAGATGCGCTAGGGTTATAGGATTAGTACCCGGCGGACATTGACTGGAGATGAGCTAGGGTTATAAGGATTAGTACCTGGTGGACGTCGACTGTAGATGTGCTAGGGTTAAAGGATTAGTACCCGGCGGATGTCGACTGGAGATGCGCTAGGGTTATAGGATTAGAACCTGGTGGACGTTGACTGTAGATGCGCTAGGGTTATAAGGATTAGTACCTGGTGGACGTCGACTGTAGATGTGCTAGGGTTATAGGATTAGTACCGGTGGATGTCGACTGTAGATGTGCTAGGGTTATAGGATTAGTACCTGGTGGACGTCGACTGTAGATGCGCTAGGGTTATAAGATTAGTACCTGGTGGATGTCGACTGGAGATGCGCTAGGGTTATAAGGTTTAGTACCCGGTGGATGTTGACTGTAGATGCGCTAGGGTTATAGGATTAGTACCCGGCGGACATTGACTGGAGATGAGCTAGGGTTATAAGGATTAGTACCTGGCGGACATTGACTGGAGATGAGCTAGGGTTATAAGGATTAGTACTTGGCGGACATTGACTGTAGATGCGCTAGGGTTATAGGATTAGCACCCGGTGGACGTCGACTGGAGCTCTAGGGTTATAGGATTAGTACCAGGTGGACATTGACTGTAGATGCTCTAGGGTTATAGGATTAGTACCCGGCGGACATTGACTGTAGATGCGTTAGGGTTATAGGATTAGCACCCGGTGGACGTCGACTGTAGATGCGCTAGGGTTATAGGATTAGTACCTGGCGGACGTCAACTGTAGATGCGCTAGGGTTATAGGATTAGTACCTGGCGGACGTCAACTGTAGATGCTCTAGGGTTATAGGATTAGTACCCGGCGGACATTGACTGTAGATGCGTTAGGGTTATAGGATTAGCACCTGGTGCACGTCGACTGTAGATTTGCTAGGGTTATAGGATTAGTACCTGGAGGATGTCGACTGGAGATGCGCTAGGGTTATAGGATTAGCAGCTGGTGGAGGTCGACTGTAGATTTGCTAGGGTTATAGGATTAGTACCTGGAGGATGTCGACTGGAGATGAGCTAGGGTTATAGGATTAGCACCTGGTGGACGTCGACTGTAGATTTGCTAGGGTTATAAGGATTAGTACCTGGAGGATGTCGACTGGAGATTTGCTAGGGTTATAGGATTAGTACCTGGAGGATGTCGACTGGAGATGCGCTAGGGTTATAAGGATTAGTACCTGGAGGATGTCAACTGGAGATGCGCTAGGGTTATAAGGATTAGTACCTGGTGGACGTTGACTGTAGATGCGCTAGGGTTATAAGGATTAGTACCTGGCGGACATTGACTGGAGATGAGCTAGAGTTATAAGGATTAGTACCTGGCGGACATTGACTGGAGATGAGCTAGGGTTATAAGGATTAGTACCTGGCGGACATTGACTGTAGATGCGCTAGGGTTATAAGGATTAGTACCTGGTGGACGTTGACTGTAGATGCGCTAGGGTTATAGGATTAGCACCCGGTGGACATCGACTGGAGATGCTCTAGGGTTATAGGATTAGTACCCGGCGGACATTGACTGGAGATCAGCTAGGGTTATAAGGATTAGTACCTGGCGGACATTGACTGTAGATGTGCTAGGGTTATAGGATTAGCACCCGGTGGACGTCGACTGGAGATGCTCTAGGGTTATAGGATTAGTACCAGGCGGACATTGACTGTAGATGCTCTAGGGTTATAGGATTAGTACCCAGCGGACATTGACTGTAGATGCGTTAGGGTTATAGGATTAGTACTCGGCGGACATTGACTGTAGATGCGTTAGGGTTATAGGATTAGCACCCGGTGGACGTCGACTGTAGATGCGCTAGGGTTATAGGATTAGCACCTGGTGGACGTCGACTGTAGATGTGCTAGGGTTATAGGATTAGTACCCGGCTTACGTCGACTGGAGATGTGCTAGGGTTATAGAAATAGCACCCGGCGGACTTCGACTGGAGATGTGCTAGGGTTATAGGATTAGTACCCGGCAGACATTGACTGGAGATGAGCTAGGGTTATAAGGATTAGTACCTGGCGGACATTGACTGTAGATGCGCTAGGGTTATAGGATTAGCACCCGGTGGACGTCGACTGGAGATGCTCTAGGGTTATAGGATTAGTACCAGGCGGACATTGACTGTAGATGCTCTAGGGTTATAGGATTAGTACCCGGCGGACATTGACTGTAGATGCGTTAGGGTTATAGGATTAGTACCCGGCGGACATTGACTGTAGATGCGTTAGGGTTATAGGATTAGCACCTGGTGGACGTCGACTGTAGATGCGCTAGGGTTATAGGATTAGCACCTGGTGGACGTCGACTGTAGATGTGCTAGGGTTATAGGATTAGTACCCGGCTTACGTCGACTGGAGATGCGCTAGGGTTATAGGATTAGCACCTGGTGGACGTCGACTGTAGATGTGCTAGGGTTATAGGATTAGTACCCGGCTTACGTCGACTGGAGATGCACTAGGGTTATAGAATTAGCACCCGGCGGACTTCGACTGGAGATGTGCTAGGGTTATAGGATTAGTACCCGGCAGACATTGACTGGAGATGAGCTAGGGTTATAGGATTAGTACCTGGAGGACGTCAACTGGAGATGCGCTAGGGTTATAGGATTAGTACCTGGCGGACATTACTGTAGATGCGCTAGGCTTATAGGCTTAGCACCCGGTGGACGTCGACTGGAGATGCTCTAGGGTTATAGGATTAGTACCTGGAGGATGTCGACTGGAGATGCGCTAGTGTTATAGGATTAGTACCTGGCGGACATTACTGTAGATGCGCTAGCCTTATAGGCTTAGCACCTGGTGGACGTCGACTGGAGATGCTCTAAGGTTATAGGATTAGTACCAGGCGGACATTGACTGTAGATGTGCTAGCGTTAGAGGATTAGCACCTGGTGGACGTCGACTGTAGATGCGCTAGGGTTATAGGATTAGTACCAGGCGGACATTGACTGTAGATGTGCTAGCGTTAGAGGATTAGCACCTGGTGGACGTCGACTGTAGATGCGCTAGGGTTATAGGATTAGCACCTGGTGGACGTTGATTGTAGATGCGCTAGGGTTATAGGATTAGTACCTGGCGGACGTCAACTGTAGATGCGCTAGGGTTATAGGATTAGCACCTGGCGGACGTCGACTGGAGATGCGGTAGGGTTATAGGATTAGTACCCGGCGGACGTCAACTGTAGATGTGCTAGGGTTAAAGGATTAGTACCCGGCGGATGTCGCCTGTAGATGCGCTAGGGTTATAGGTTTAGTGCTCAGCGGACGTCGATGTGTAGTCGCGCTAGGGTAAAAGTATAAGACTTGGCCGACTAGAGTAAGTATTATAGTAGGGTAGTCAGGTACAGGAAAAAATCCACAATCACCAACTACTGGCCTGGCATGAATAATACATCGATTTTGGTCATTTTCGCGGATCTGTGTGAACGGTGATTGTTTTGACCATGTTGTCATCTGTATGTGAAAAATGTAAAAGTACATTGTTGTCATAGGAGCGTACCCAAAGTATTTTGACCCTTTCTGGTTGCCAAACATTAGTGGATCATGATAGTTATCCCGATGAACAACACCTGTGGTTACTCTGATAGGACACCTGTTCGTTGCAAAAATTACTTCTGAGAAAACTGTCCAAAAGCCTTTTTTGGGCCACTGTTGATCGGCTGTGATCTACATGAAACAGAGCTAAACCAGGTGCCACGTTTCTGTAGTTTCATGATCATAATTTAAATAAATAGGGTTATTACCTCATTAGTGAGAATTAGTGATGTGAAAAATATTATGTTGTTAGGCAGATGTGGAGCTCGATCATGATCCCCAAACTTACCTCACCAACTGCATTAGACAGAATGTGTACAATCTTCTCATGAGGGGTGGCCACAACACTCTGGCTATTGATTTCAATGATCCGGTGGCCGACACGGACCCCACCGCGCTCTGCTATCCCTCCTCTCATGAGACTGCAAATCTGGAGGATGCAAAATACATTAAAGTTGTACTTCAGACCAGATTATAGTAGCATTGAGATACTATTATAGTTTTTTTTTGGCAATCTTTTGAATACATTTACATTTTAGTATTTTTCATTTTCATTTTAGTTAAAGTTTTAGTAAGTGTGTTTTTGTCTGTTTAGAATTGGACTCTGAACTAGTTTCTTATTAGCATGCATATTACTAGGATATTGGCTGTTTATTAGTACTTGTATAAAGCACTTATTAATGCCGTATTCTGCATAACCACATTCTACATCCCTAAATCCTACCCAATACCTAAACTTAACAACTAACTAATAATTAATAAGCAGTTATTAGGAGTTTATTGAGGCAAAAGTCATAGTTAACACTTAGTTAATAGTGAGAGCTGGACCCAAAACTAAAGTGTGACCAAAAATTGACCAAACTACGACTGCAACATTAAAGTATTAATAACCATAAAGGTCAATAACAATGTTGTAATGTTGATGTTAAAATTATTTACTCTTTTTTTTCTTCATAAAGTAAAAATAAAAATCAAGTGTTTTATTTTTCATTTATGTAGAAAAAAAGAGTAAAGAATTTTAACATCAACATTATGCATCATAACACTATAATACACAGTATGAAAAATGAATATTCATTTCAGATTTGCTAAATATACTAATCCATATTCATATACAATATCAGTTTATACCAATAGAAACAAAAAAAAATCTCTCTCTCTCTTTTTTAATAAATCCAAGATACCTACAATGCCATTCTGCACACTAAATCCCAGCTGATATCTCAGGTCTGGTCTTCTGATGAGGACAGTGGTCACAGGTGGGCATCTCACAATGTTAAGCTTTATTCTGGATTGGTTCTTCAATCCCTAGAAGCACAATATGTTTGACACAATACATTGAATGTAAAAGAATTAGCTAAAAAAATAAAATCAGTAAATTACAAATAGAATTAAATCTTTCACAATATTTTTGCACATAAAGTGTACTTAAAGTCCACTTGTACCTTGATAATACTCTGGCAGGTGGAGAGGGGTAATCCCACCAGGCTAGTACCATTGATGGACATAATCTGGTCCCCAATGTTCAGCCTGCCTGACTTCTCTGCCGGGCCGCCGTGCATCATGTTTGCTATAATAACTGTGGGAAGGATGGAGCCCCAGCCCGACTCTACAATCACCAGCCCAAGAATCTCTCCCTTCTGCTTCTCTATGTAAACCTGTAGTGCACAGACATACACCCACCACTTTTATCACCACTAAAACACGATTTAATCAACATTACTGATAATTCTGACATTATCAAGGCAAATTCTCAAAATTTCACAGTAATCTTCTGTTTCCACAAGGCATGTGCTGTCCACTTACATCTTTGCAGTTCTCAGACTTGGAAAAGTGAATGAGGTCATCGTTGTACATGTCCTGTGTGTTAAGGAGGTCGCTATACTCTTTCTGGCTCAGATCCTCTGGGTTGATGCCATTGGCACGCAGGAACTCTTGGTACGCCACACTGAAAGCCTGGCCGATGGATTGAGCTATGAGTTGAGCCTGAGCACAAATAGAAATCAGGTAAAATGAATAAATAAAACTAATAGAATGTTAAATAACTAAATTATTACATTGAATAAATACAATTTGATGATTTATTTCACTTTTTTAAAGGGATACTCCACTTTTTTTTTGGAAATAGGCTCATTTTACCACTCCCCCAGAGGTAAACAGTTGGGTTTTACCGTTTTCGAATGTATTCAGATGATTTTCTGATTTTTAGAAGAATATCAGTAACCAGACAGTATCTGGTCTCATTGACTTCCATAGTATAATATTTTTTCCTACAATGGAAGTAAATGAGACCAGAAACTGACTGGTTACTGATATTCTTCTAAATATCAGAAAATCGGCTGAATGGATTCGAAAACGGTAAAACTCAACTGTTTACCTCTGGGGGAGTTGTAAAATGAGCCTATTTCCAAAAAAAAGTGGAGTGTCCCTTTAAAGGACCGCAGTTGATGACAGTTAAACACGTGGGTCAAGAGACGACAAGGGCGGCATCCCTCAGGATAGTCGCATACACGCCGTTTGTCACTGTTTGGCATTTCACTGTTGTACACTGTGCTGAGACATAAGATGTGACATATACGGGCTCTTTGAATTCAAATAGCATCTGCAGCCGAACAGAGAAAAGGTCACTTTCTGTCTACTGATTCAACCCACGCAAGATGCCCAGGAACACCATCTGGATTAATGCTATTAGAGGTCACTACCACAATGGCCAGTGACTGCAATACTGAACATGCTGGGAGAACTGTAAACCTGAAAATGTGAAGAGACTGAGAAATATTGGGCAATTTTGGATGATTAAATGTGGAAAAAGTGCAAAGGGTGAATATGGAAGGGAGTTGCTGTTGTGTGTTGTGGTTGACCTCCCCTTAACTGTGGTAAAACCACTGTAATAAACAGCCTAGAGTGGCTTTCATCAACTGCAACAACAGCAGTATTATAAAATGAAGTGTGTAAATCCATTTTAGAATGTATCGTTTTATAATGCTAAAGCAATAAATTGAATCTGTCGCCCTGACAGCCTCCTTTAGCCGCCGGCTGATAAGGTCACACTGGCACATAGCTGGGATGAAGAACTCACATCTTCAGACTCAAACACGTGACAGATCATCTTGTATTGCCGCTTCTCGTCCTGGGCAGGGTCAGAGGCTTCCATGTTCTCCTGAGAGTCAGAGCGAGCCATTCTCCTTCTGGCCATCAACACCACGATGTTCCCAATATCAGCGATGTAAGAGATGGTCCTTAAAGGGTGGTCCATCATGGTCTCCTGTGAATCAGGAGAAGATTGTAATGGTAAGATCAATTCTCAAAGCTTAATCTATTTCTACACACACACACACACACACACACTATATATATATTTATATATATTATAATATATAAATATAATATTTTTTTTCAATCAATAATTTTATTCCATAAAACATTGAAGATAAAAATACCGGAAAAAAAAAACTGCCAAAAGTTCATTTAGGTTGTTTTAAGATTCTTTTAAAAATTATTAAAAGTTTATTTTTCAAACCCTATTTGTAAATTTCTTAAATCAACCCAAAATTTAGCCAGGTTTCAGCTAGTATTCATTTTTTAGTACACTAAAATTTAAAAGTTTGCTGTTTGGTAAAAAATATTTTTTGTTTTTGAAAAAAGACTCAATGAATAATTGAGAATCTCAAAGCAGCATTAATTTATTTAACAAAATAACACAAAATGCAAAATTGCAAACTGTAGGATCAGGAATATGAAACCACTAAGCACTGAAAGACAACAACCGACAAGGAATAGAAACAAGCTAGCGACAGAAATAAAAAGGAACAGGAACTAAGAATTTGGAAAACAAGAACATGTAAGTCAATGAAAATGAAAATGAAACTCAGGCTGAACATTACATTAATCCGGATTAAGGAGCCAGGAGGATGACAGACCGAGGTGGCGACGATGGGACGAGGGAACCCAGTGAAGCCGCAGGAATGACAAGCCACGCTGGAACCGAGGGAGCGAGGAGCCACAGTGGAGCAGATTAATTGATGGGCCGAAGCAGACTCTTAAAGGGACACTTCACCCATTTGCATTAAGCTTTGTATCTTTAGAAACCCAGTCATATTTTTTGAATGGTCATGGTTTGTTCCCTTATTTTCCCCTGAGATGGGAGAAATAAGGATTTAAGTGTTTTACTTCCTGCTAATTATGACGTAAAAAATCTTCATTTTGCGTCATAATAAGCAGGAAGTCACATTTCATAAAAGTGTAGAGACTACCAACATTAGCTCATTATTATTCAAGGGGGTGGGACCCACTCACCCTACAGGCCTATTACAGATCAGTGGGTGGGACTTCAGCGCTATGAAGATAGGAATTTATGACAATGACGAAAGAAACTAAACATGATATGGAAAAAGAGGATTTTGAAATTCTGCTGCTCGGATCCCATGTGCGTGGCTATGTTTACGAGTCGCAGTATAGTGAAGAAAAGCTGAGGCTGATGGAGGAACCGGAGGCGGCTGCCTGTCACGGTCGAGGAGCCCGGACTGGCTCAAGCTGGTGCATATGCTCTCGCTGTGAGCTACGGACAAAGATAGAGTCCGTCTGCTGCAGAGAATTTCAACAATGGCAATTTCTCCTGGAGGAAATCCCTGAATCAGACGAGCACACGGACGTTTGTGTTGTGATTTGAACCATCCTAGTTTCGCCTGACTGAACATCCCGGTATCATGCAGTAATTCACCATACAGATATAAATACAAACGAGGAGTAATTCAATTATGAGTTTGCCAATGTAATGTTAACGGGGTTCGTTGTTGTGGGAAGAAGGAGGTGGGAACCGGTGAACATTTAAACATTTTAATAGTACATTGAACAAATACAAAACAAAAGTATAAGCCAGCAGCCCCTCATTGCAGCCCCATCATTTCGACTACATATATGATCCACTTTCAATAAAGATTAATGTTGAAATAGGTGAACTCCTCCTTTAAGCCCGGAAGATCAAGTTGAAGCTGAAGACCAAGTAAGAGCTGGGAGCCGGGAAGCCCAAGGTGAACCAAGGGAACCAGCAGAGAAAGAGAGAAATCAGCACTGAAGAATGAGCCAGGAAGCTGGATGGAGCCAGCGATGAAGAAGGACCCAGGAGGTCGGCAGAGCCAGAGTAGATGAAGGAGGTGGAAAGCTGGGCACGACCAGCAGAGGAAGTGGATCGAGGAAACTGGGTGGAACAAGCAGAGAGCTGGATGAAACCAATGGAGCAGGGAGGCATACTATGGTGGGCATTAGGGTGAAAAATGGTTCTGGTGAGTCCACAAGTCCATCAAAACTCCCAGAGGGATGGACATGGCATCTGGCTTTAGCTTCTGACTAGCCTGGGCGAATAGCTTGGGCTCCTGGAAGACATTGGAGGATCCTCTCCACCAATTAAGGGTTCATGGTTGGAGTGGGCTCTGGGTTTGTGGAGGGTGCAAGCTTTGGCTTTGGGTCTGTTGAACCAACCAGCAACAATGCAAACTCTATTGCCGCAACGAGCAGCTGGAGTTCCCCATTGGAAGAGACCAGTGTTGGAAAAGTCCACTTTCTACATGAACTAGTTCAAAGTTCAGTTCACTCATTTTAAAATGAACTAGTTCAGTTCATAGTTCATACTTCAAAAATGAACTAGTTCATTCATAGTTCTTTTTTTTCTATATGCTGCAAGCTTTTTTTATTATTATTATTGCCACAGCCCATATACAACCACAGACAACAATTATTTTATCGATGGGCAGTTTGCACAGAAATGTAAGATTTTTCCCATCCTCACCGACCTCATCATAAAACTCGTTTAAATTATCATACGACGCCTCCTCGCTCGCTGCTTTGTCGACGGCAGCCGCGTTGCGACACTGGTGTCTTGTGTTGCCAGATCGTTTTTTTCCCGCTACATATTAAGGCCTGTTTATGTGTGTTTTAGCCAGGTTTTGGCCTGGAAGGCTCTATAGAAATCTGGCACCCTATTGAACGAAGTTAAACTGAGAGAACGTGCGTTCACAGACACCAGAATGAACGCGTTCACAGTAACGTTCATCAGGCAGTAATACAGTACGTTCAGTTCACGTTCGCCCCAAAATATGAACGCGTTCAATGAACGATAGTTCAGGCACAACACTGGAAGAGACTGTAGGAGATGGACGCCTAGCATACTCCCAGGGTCCGTCATTCTGTCATGCTCAGACATAAGGAAGAGTTGAGGCCAGATCTCAAAGCAGCATTAATATTTAATAATATAACAAAGAATACAACTCACAAAATGAATGTAGGAGCAGGAAATCTCAACAGCTTTTTAAGCACGTAAAGACAATAAAAGGTCACAGAATAAAATAAGGGATATATATATATATAGACACACAGGGATAACAAGCTAAATTAACACGATGCAGATGATGATCATGGGTAACCATAGAAACAAACTAGCAATTGGAATAAAGGAAACAGGAACTGAGACAAAGTATTAATTCAATTTAAAATGAATTCTTACTGACGCCAAACTTTTAAATGGTGGTGTGTATTTTTATTTTTATTGAAGATCAAGAAAAATTCAGTTTCTCGTGATAATTAAGTATTCTGTACCTTTACTAACTCATTGTGATGTCTGCTCTAGTATTTTGCTCACTTTTGGTAAAAAGGTGCAGAAACCCAAGTCGTGTGTGATGAAGTACCTGTGAGTCTGCATTGAGCACTTTGATTCTCTGAGTGGAGATGAAGAGATCCACTTCCGTCATGGGCTGAGCTTCACCTTCTGGAGCCTGAAGATGAAGAAAATCACACAATATCAGTCACTGAGAGAGACATTGACAGAGAGAAAGAGAGAGAGAGAGCTGACAAGGCCCAGAGATGCCATGAAGGAGCGTACAAACATCTCCCAACATTTAAGACCAGATATTCAAATTATTTTAAACTATCTCCTTCATTGTGTAACTCTGATAACCTGTGCTTTTTTTTAAGCCAGCTAGTATTGCAAGTTGGCATGGGGTTAGTTTGGTTAGTTTTGTTCTTCATTTGAAGAAGTTCAGTAAGTTAAGAGAAAGAGAGGGATACAGAGTTTTCAACCAAGTGCTGGACAGCTGAATAAAAAAAAAGACCAAGAGAAGTGCAAAACATGCTGTGCCAGATACACACCTTCAAAAACAGTCACAAACACAGCACAGTACCTCAGAAAGAAAAAGATCAGGTACAAAGAAGAAGAAAGTAAAGATCACTTGCATTTTCTGTATCCAGCAAACTAGACATTCCTGGCCTTAACATATTCCACGGCTTCCCCATGTCAGATCTGGTGGTAGAACTGAGGTAATGTTTGGTGTGGAATGAACAATGGCTAACAGACTGTGCGGACGGACACAGGTACATGACTCATTGCTGGATTCAGAAAAAAAAAATGGCAGAGCGACAGAAATTATGAAAACACTGAAGTGCTGAAACCAGGCAAAAGAAGAAGACGAAGAACAAAAATAAAAACAAAACACCAAACCGATGACCAATTACTGCACCTTCTTCCTGTTTTTGGCTAATTTCTGGGCCGTCTGCTTAGCATGGAACAAACAGAGACAGGAACAGTGTTAGATAAAGCAGAGCTCAGCAAGACCAATCACATTTGAGGTATCTCTCTGCTCAACACGCTGCATCTGAAAAGTGACTGCATTTTTATCAGCTGTAGTACGGATTCAGATGACACCAAGCCAAGATTATTGGACACCACCCTGCAACAATATGTTGCCTTTGGTTTCTTTTCATGGCAATTTGCACCATCATCCACCAGGTGGCCTATTTGTTCTTTTAATATCTTATCTCTACTATTGGTGTTATATTACAGAACATCCTGTTCATAAAACATCAACTATACAAAGCACGGATGAATTCTGCTGAAAATTAGATTAAGAGCAAGTTCAAACTTGCCAGCAGGCTGTGATAATGGATCGAACTGGCCATCTAAGGAAGATCTACGTCATGGCAGCTGAGGCAGGGTGTATTGATTCAGATGTCTCTCCAAATGCATGCAATTTACACTTGTTTTATGTACCGCATTGAAACTGTCAAGTTACTAAAACCCCCATATTAACGATCCTTAAGGATGTCACTCATTTTGAGCTCATGGTTGTGCATGGGAGAAGGTACGGTGTCTCACACATGCAGGTGAGGTGTGAGTGAGCCAATAAAACAAAGAACACATACAGTAATAACCAATGCTAACCAATTTCTTTATTGTCTTTAACAATGATAAATATATATAAATATAACTATATTCTGAAAGTGATTCCAACAATATTGTTTCTTAGTGCCGTTATCGGTATAGCCGTGGTGTGAACTCTGCTATTTTTTAATATTGATAACGAATTGTAGAACTTTACCTTTATCGTTATCTTTATAGTAATCGTCCTTGGTATCCTTAACCCATAAGCATTTACATATTTACATACTGTCTTTTGAGGGTCAAGTGCATAAATCCCAAGATTTTACATCTATTTGGCCCACATTAAACTTTTTTAATTCTAAGGAGCTCCATTACAAGAGAAGTGGAAAAAGGTGATGTAAAATGTAACTCTTGGTCTTTTAAGCAAAACGGTTAAATCAGATAATCTACAAAACGGTTAAATCAGATAATCTACAAAAGGACAGCATATTGACTATTCTGTAAATATTAAATTAGTGTCAAGGTTCCCTGTCAATATTTGACCAAAACTCATTTGAGGAACCCTTCAACCTTAACTGCTAAGAAAACCAGATCGGGTGATAGGGATGCATGATATCCATCAGTCATGGGATGATTTAATGTACTTATTAATTTATTTATTTCAATCAATTTAGATATTGGATATTTAATTGTGCTGCTCATTTTGAAAAAAAAATGACACTGTTAATAACAATGTTAAATGTATTTGTTTTGGAAATCTCAAAATTAATATCCATTTTACCATTTCCATTTTAGGGTGCCTAATTTTACTTGTAGCATTTTCAATTATTTTATTGATTTAATTTTAAGTGTCTCCAGCATTGGATGTTGATGTGCTGTGTCATCATTATGCTGCTTAATATATTCCCTAGTAATATCTAGAACTACTTTCCCAGCTAACAGGGAATGTTCTCAGAACTCTCTGGTAAAGTTCTCTAAGGAAGTTATGAACAATATTATAATATTTTACTACACTATTTAACATTTACTATTATTATAAAAATAGTAGCACAAAACATTATTTTATACATCGGTCATGGAATGTTTTCTCTCTGAAACATTTCAGTTGGAAGTTTATTTAACATTTCTTTAAAAGTTAATACTTGTACGAACGTTCCCAAACTTGTAGGAACGTTCCCAAAATGTTTGCAACATTTATATATATATATATATATATATATATATATATATATATATATATATATATATATATATATATATATGCATAGAGAGAGAGAGAGAGTGTAAATGTTTGAAAAAATAACATCTTCATAACTTAACATCAATGTTACAAAACTATGTTCTAAAAAACATTTTTCTTAGTGGCGTTGGTCAATTTGGTGAAAAAGTAAATGCTGGTCCATCAGCTAGACCAGCACCAATCTAATGCTAACCAGACATGAATTTCATGCTGATTTAAGCTGTTCTATTCAGCTAAGCTGATAAAATGGCGCTTTTCCACTGCCGGTTCGGCTCGGTGCGGCACGGTTCGGCTTGCTTTAGCTCAGTTGCTTTTCCACTGCAGATAGAGTGACCTTTAAAGTGGGTGGGATTATAAACTGATCAATAACAGCGGTGGCTGTAACTGGCTATTTAAATCTAGCGGGTTTGGTTTCTCGTGTCGATGTCTATTGCTCGCAAATACAATGACGCTGGTACTGACGATTCTGTCTGACCAATCAGTGATCTGCAGTGTTTCACGTCACATTTAGTACCAGTACGGTACGCTTGGAACCTCAACAGACCATTTAAAGCAAGCCGAAACGTACCATGCAGCGGAAAAGCGCCAAAAGTGTCCACACAGTTACCTTTTTTAAATGACTTCATAATTGTAATCATTAGCAATCAACCATTCTGATATTGTTGCCTGCAATAGCACATAGCAATCTGTAATTGAACATTTTAACAAAAAATGTACATACAAAGGGACATGCTGAAAGAACACTAAATGGCACAGGTGTTGGTCTCACTGCATTTTTTAAGGTGGAGGTAAAAAATGCTGAGTAATGCAGCTGACAGGGCGAATGGCTGATTTATGCTGCAGGAGGATGAACAGGAGGGAGGTGGTAAATGTCTCTGATCCTAAGGAACAAGAATCATGGGATAGGTCTCTGCATTGACTATGGAATCATTACCGCAAGAGGATCACACACACACACACACACACTCTTAGTTTTACGATCATCTCTCATCTTCTGCTGTGAACTGACATTTCAATTCGAACAACAAAACATGTCTGCAAAACGCAACTTCATCATGTTGTATCCGAGGAATAAAATGCTTGCGCAATAGTACACTCTCCGTATATGACCAGTCAGAGTACAGCTCTACATTCCTTATGAATTCCCATTCTTTTGTCCTAAAACTGTCACTTTTGCTTTCTTGGAACATTTATGCTGATCCTGAAGTAAGTATTGCTTAGGAGATTTATTGAGATAGATTCATGGAAGCTCAGGTTTACATCTTTACAGCGGGGACTTTCACCTCACCTTAATGCGACTCACAGCCTCTTGAGCCTGCATCATGCGCACATTTTTGGAGGGCGTCTTGTCTGACAGCAGCTGGGTGGATCCCAGGTAGTTAGCAGCAAAGATAATACCATCAATGAGGTCCTCTGGGTCACATGGGCCTGGTACTAATAGAGAGGAGAGGAACATTTCAGAGCTTTTTCATCTTCAAAACATGTGGCGGCTGAGGACCTGAAAATTGTAACAATTAGGAAATGACAGACAATCTTACCTTCCACATATGTTGGGAATGAAGCAAGACTTCTCCTTGACTGCACACACAACAACAAAGACACAAATGGCTCAACATTCATTAAACTGTTATTTTTAGGTATGGTGTGTCCCTAATTTCTATATTGCACAATATAATATAATAATCAAACTGTAAGACTGGAAAACTGGTTGAAGAACGAGTGGAATCTACATTCTTCACTCTTGCAAACTCACACAAGAATCTAAATGGTTTTAATGTGAACAATAATCATACTGTTTTACACATGTTTGGTATCATTTGAAATGTCTCAGTGCGACTGGTACAAATGTCTCATTTCCAAATAAGTCAAACAAAAGGTAATAAGGGTTTTAAAAGTTTAGAGATAACACACACACAAATGAGGGTGGATGGTTAAACCCTCCTGCTCTCAGAAGGTGTTAACTCAATGCAAATTCCCACCGTTAGCAAATGTAAATCAACTTCTGCCTTCAGTAAGTCTTGGACAGTGATTAAGGTGAATTTCCACTGTGAACTCATGTTTGCAAACGGGGTCTGTCAATATAATGAATGTTATTTTTAACATTTACTAATAAATTATTAAAATCAAAAGTCGTATAAAACCAAGATTTTAAATATTATAACAAACTTATTGCTCATAGTTAATGTTAATCGATACATTAATGTTAACAAATAAGAACTTACTGTATTGTACAGCGTTACCATTTAAAAAAAAAAAGACATTCTTGTGTGTGTGTGTGTGTATATATATATATATATATATATACGCTATATATACACTATATATATATATATACATTTTTTTTATAAATGAACTGAATTAATAGCCTGGCTACGCCCTCCTACGCACTTCCGCTCAATTTCATTTTACTTCAGTACTACAAATGAAATGTACTAGAGTCTGGTTGAACCAGGCTACTGAATTAATAAAACAAAATAGCAATGCAAGAATACATTATATAGCCAAAGCAGAAATACAGTTTAAAACTTGAATCTGCTCTAATTAATCTATTATAACGGTCTCTTGAATAATTTATAATAACTTCTAAATCACACACAGTCAGGGCCATAATTCTGTGGCCAGTAATATGTGTCTAATTAAAATCCTAGAGCACCTTCTTAACATTATTACCAAGAATAATAATAAAAAAAATCTTCAATTTTCAGCACAGTTTCAGAGCTCTATTCATAGCCTCCCACCTCTTTACTGGCTGGAGATGGAGACTCAAAGCTGTCGCTCCCCTCGTGTGGCGGCAGGGGACGGCTGGAAGACTCCGCCCCCTGTGGGGACGTGGAGCCTGAGCCTGGAGACTGGACAAAACAGACACATTCATTAATATTGCATGCTTTACAGTCTATCATTCTGGACCATGACTCATACACAAAAACTACATTTAATCACGTATTGAGACTTTCAATAACATTTAGAGTACATTATGTTAATACAAGTCTTCACAGTTTTTGAATAAATTAAATAAATGAATAAAAGAAATTGGTATCATTTAAATAGCAAAGCAATGAGGTAGATTCAAACCAAAAAGACACAAACCAAAAACACTAATGTGACAATTAAATGACTATTGTTGGCAGTAGGTTCAGTTCAGAGTCCAAAATGTGAAATACTAGAGAACAAATGACTCATACCCTGAATAACCAGAGCACATTACAATGAAATATTTAAAAGATATTTCCTGTTCATCCTTTGTCATAACATATAAACAGTCAAGTCCCTCCAATGTATCTCCATTACAATAATATAATCAGATGTGTAGAATGGAAATGAACACTGTAAAAAAAAAAAAAGTTGCTGCCTTAAATGTTGGCACAATCAACTTCACAATCCTGTCTCTTGTTGGATGTTTAAGTCATTTAAACTTAAATTACATTAATCTGACTTAAACTGACTTACGTTGATACTAAAACATCCAAACCACATTTACGTAAAGCTCCTCACCTCATCACCAAGTTGACGATCTACCTGATACATCCAGAAATTTTCCATATCAATAAGCCGTGGAAAATGTTCTTCCTCCAGATAGACTCAAATCAAGTGCTACAGCTGATGTTGCTCTTTGGACCAGAGAACAAGAGAGAAGAACATAAGAACCTCTTCCTCTCTCATCAAACCCACGTTGATAACTCCACTTACAACAGAGGAGAACACGGCTCCTGTTACAGCCCGACCTGGGAAAACCGTTCCTGGAACAGCTTCGTTCAAGAGTTACATGGATCAGAGACCACCACACTATGCTACATCACTGCTATTCTGCAGGAAAAAAACTCATTTCTGCTAAATTCCCTGACAGCTTTACTGGTGAAATAAGCAGCAGTAATGAAGTTAGCAGACACTAGAAGTCCCTATTAGTTACCGACTCATTTATTACTTTTCACACCCTGAAATATAAATGACCTAAACACTGAATAAAAATAAAAATACTGAAAATAAATAATACATTTTAAAGCATGTTAAGCATTAATGGAGGGCAGGGGAAGACGGCAGTTGTTCTTCTCTGGTGTTATATGAGCCTTGCTGAATTATTTACAGGCCGTCTCTTTCTGTGTCTCTTTGACTGCACTAAATAAATCATATTGTGAAGGGGGAAAATAACAGGCTTCTGATGAAATGTCAAATTCTGAGAACAGCACAGAATAGGAGAGGGCAGGACACCACCAAGTGTTCAGCGCAGCTTTAATGGGATTTAATTGTGGGATCTGTGGAAGATGCATGACTGAATGATATTCACTAAACGACCGTTGTTTACAGTTGAGAATCACTAACAAGTTTTAATTTTTAAACAAAGGAAATGTTATAATACAAAATTAATATGAAATGTTTAGGATGGTGCACTATTTATTTCTAGGGAATAAATCAAATGTAAGAATTTTCAAAATATGAACTTTTGAAGAGGATTTTTGACTCAGATTGTTAGCTAATAATATATTTAGTAATAAAAATATTGAACTGCAAAATAAAAGCTTTCACTGGCTTTCACTGTGTATGGAAACGCCAGTGCCCCTGTCCAAGATAGATCCCTAAGCCCACGCAATCATTCTCTGAGTCCAACTTTCATGATGTAATGGTTATTTGACTGTCAGGTGTGGAGACCCTTTCGAAACCTAAAATGACAAGTGGGACAACTTATGGTATTGTGAACTTAACACAAACAAGCGAGCGGAGGCCATTGTAAGACCACAAGACCCCATGAGCACATGAAGTGTGGCATTTGGAACAGGGCCAAAGATATAACAACGACTAGATGTTAAACTATTAAATGGGTTATGACATGGGAAATCAAATTTTCCTTGATCTTTTGACATAAGCGCTCTTTGTACCATTAAAACATCCTGCAAGTTTCACCTTAAACCACCCTCATTATAAACAAAACTTTTATTTAATCAAGCTCCGTATTACGAGATCTGTGACGTCATGTGCATACGCCTGCCTCCAGAGCAAGACATCGACGAATAGTTGTACAATAGTTGACAAAAATTAATTTTTAATTTCGCACTATCGGCCCCGCCCACTGGAGTTAAAAGGATTGTTCACTTTGAAATTAATTTTTGATATGTTTTAGCTTACCTCAAGGGCATCCAAGATGTAGGTGTCTTTGTTTCCACAGTATTTTCAATTTTGATATTTTTAGGTCAAACCGTTCTTGTCTGTCAGACATATAATGGAAGTCTATGGGGATCTCCTAAAAGAGCATGCACAGAGAAGTCTAAATTAAACATGATTTAATGACTCGTAAATGTAAGTACACATTGATGGCCTAAGACACGAAACGAGCGGTTTGTGTGAGAAAACGAACAGTATTTGTATCGTTTTTACCTCTTGTAATCACAGCCACGTCCAAGTGATCTGAAGTGATCTCTTGAGCGATTGTGAAAAAAAAAAATCAACGTTGTCTGCTGATTTATAGAAATCGTCTTCCATTGCAATTTCCTGTATATCTAAATATGTTTAGATCTTCACAGTGAAAGGTAAAACTTCTGAAATCTCCGTGTAAACAATGAGTGACGTACATGCGCGAGAGATCACTTCCGGCAATTTCCGGCACGTTGCGCAGACCGAAATGCCCACGCCCTCAGATCACTTGGACTTGACTGTGATTACAAGAGGTAAAAACGATACAAATACTGTTCGTTTTATCACACAAACCGCTCGTTTCGTGTCTTAGGCCATCAGTGTGTACTTACATTCACGAGTCATTAAATCATGTTTAATTTGGACTTCTCTGTACATGCTCTTTTAGGAGATCCCCATAGACTTCCATTATATGACTGACAGACAAGAACGGTTTGACCTAAAAATATCAAAATTTAAAACACTGTGGAAACAAAGACACCTACATCTTGGATGCCCTTGAGGTAAGCTAAAACATATCAAAAATAAATTTCAAAGTGAACTATCCCTTTAAATCACGAAAGACTAACATTTGCCTACACTGGATGTGAGTGTCGCATAAAAAGCTAGATCGAAATGTAATCATATCACTCCAATACCTCTTTACTGGCTTCCTGACTTTTTTAGAATTCAATAAAATATGTTGCTGATTGTTTTTTAAGCTCTTAACAGGCAAGCTCCATCTTACATTTCTCATCTTATTTATGTGAATTCAGCTCCTATGTCTCCTAGGACTGCCAAAAAGCTCTCTCACACGTCCCACGGCCATGTGTTAAATCGAAAAGTGCAGAGCATTTGCAGTTGCTGCTCCTGCTATTAAGAGTGCTTCTTCTATTTCTGTTTTTAAATCTAGATTTTAGACAGATCTTTACTCTTTAGCCTTTCCTGATTATTAATTTATGGATTAGTAACGGTTATCTTTGTTAACGTAATATTGTATTTTATTTTATTGTATTTTATGATTGTTTGTACAGCACTGTGGTCAGTGTAAGCTGTGCTCTATAAATAAAATTGACATATTAAAAAAACTTGACTAATAATTCATGTAAATTAAGTTGTAAATTAAACAGTATGCATTTGTTTTAGGTGCAAAAAAACTATATTCACATTATAAGTGTACCTCAAGGAACATATTCAAGTAATAATAAATTACATGACCCCTTTAGGAAACATTTTTCGGAAATTAAAAAAAAGAAAAGCTAAATAAATAAAAGAAGAGAAAATATAAATCTAAAATGAAAAAGTAAAACAAAAATTGAATTAGCCTTGGCAACAAACTGAAATAATGTTTAAGTCAAAGCACTAAAACTACTAAAACTGAACTAAATCTAAACACACAAATAAAAAATAAAAAATGACAAAAGCACATAATAAAATGAGTAAAACTTACACTAAATTTAAAATGAAAATTGAAAATGTAAAAATAAAAGTCGAATCAAAATATTAATAAATACTAAAATAGTATTTACACAATACTAAAATAACATGGGAAGCCACATAAACCTCCTCAATGATCTGAATAAAAGATGTTGTGGGATATGAGTGGAAAAATAATATGCTACAGATAAAATTTATCATCATCACAATCATTTACAAAATCAACCATAATTGCAGTGGGTGGCGGCTGGTGTCTTCTTTAAACTCCCACTGGGAGATTTCAATTAAGTGCAATTCTTTCTACGTTCCCTCTCATCGGAGAGCCAAAAGCCTGCGATCCCATAGAACTGCTTCCAAATGAGGCCTTGTGCTCATGAATACTGCTCAGACAAACAATGGCGATTAATTAACACTGTCGAAATAGCTAACAGATGAGCTGGGCTTTGTGCTGTTTGTTTAGTAAGACTGTGTGTACTTATGTATAGTTTATTTCTGTAATGTGTTGGTAATAGACAATGTGACTGATTCAGCTCTGATTGAGTAAAATTACGCAGCACAGAATCTATTAATTATGTAAATGTAAAAACAAAAGAAAAGATTATCAAAAATCTCAAGCACACATCATGAGATGATACCATTAGGTTGATACTAACCACGGGCGCACTTGATTGACATCCACACATTATGTTAATAAAAAGGGTAATACTCATCTCAGATAATGAGAAAAAAAAGAGAAGAAAAGTAAAGACATGTTAATTTTGTAGCCTTTCTAATACAGAGAACTCATCTTTCTCTCTATGTGTTGTTGTTCAGACAACGTCTGTTGTGGCTGAGGAGCAGGACAACTTAATTTGCCCACGCTAGTCATGTGTAGTAGCACTCGCAAGAATACAGATGAGCTCTCCAGGCCATGGATAAAGAAAGCCGTTCTATGAGTGCGAGCAGTCTTCATTTTCTAGCGACATGCAATTTGTCCGGCGCCGTGGCAGGCACCACTCATGAGACAGAGACTAGTGTGTGCCACCGTCCTCTCCAGAAATGAACAGTGATAGAGCGATGAAGTCACGACCAGAGGAATGATGTGATTCACCCTGTGAGGCTGTTGCAGCCAAAGAGAACAACAACGCAATTGTACACGCCCTCCTGTTTTTTTTTTTTTGTTATTTGCTGCACCTGCCACAAATATTTAACATAAATTAGAGTAGTGTTAAGGCAAATAGACCTATACATCTCATGACTCTAATCAAGTTAAAGCAGATGTGTTTTTTTCCATCTGAGTTGGACATATAACTGGCCTCTGTGTTGAGCGCTTCTAAGCAGGTGACGTATATTTAATCCCTCAAATATCTGACAAATTGTGTCATGTGTACTTGGACCGGCAGATGAAGAATGTAGCACGATGTAAATGTGCTTAAGGGTTAGTACACCCAAAACTTAATCATTTACTCAACCTTGTTGTTTAAAACCCGTATATGATTTTGGTTAATCCATTTTTGTCCCTCCATTGAAAGACCAAGTAATCAAAACTTAGAAGATCTAAAAAAGGTCATAAAGGCATCACAAACTGAATACATATGAATCGAGCGGTTTAATCGAAGACAAAGATAGATAATTAGGCTTTTATTTACATCTAAACAATGAACAGCATCACATATGGCACACCACGACACCCCACGGAAACTCAAATGTGCGAGAACCTATAAGGTTTGCTCTAGCACATGACTCATGCACAAGCTTTTGTATTACCATTACCACATGTGATGGGCTATGTGTTTATATGTAAATAAAAGCCTAAAGTAAAGTGATTCAGTTCATCATATAAAGCAATTGTATTTTTAGCACAAGACTTGGATTAAACCACTCAGTTCATATTGATTAATTTTACAATGCCTCTACAACATTTTTGGATCTTCTAAATTTTGGCTATCTGGACTTTCAATGGATCAAACAGATCTCATTCCCCATTGACTACCATTCCTACTATGGAAGTCAATGGGGAATGAGATCTGTTTGATTAAAACATTCCTCCAAATATCTTCCTTTGTGTTCAGCAGAACAAATAAACACATAGAGGTTTGGAACAACATGAGGGTGAGTAAATACTGACAGAATTTTCATTTTTGGGTGAACTAACCCTTTAAGAGTGACCTTTTAAGCAAGAATATTATATAGAAATAAAACTGCAGAAACAACAGCAGTGATGACACCACAAAGCATAAACTGCAGTGCAACAAAAGAGTAGCAAAGATAGCAGAACATTATGCATAGTGCGGCTCATACTCACATCAGCCCCCAGAGAAGGCTGCAGGTCAGATTCTGCTGTGGGACTCAGGTCCTGCCTCATTACCCAGATGGGTTCTTTGGGCTCGTCTGGCGTGTAGGGCGAGCGGACCGTCCTGGTCTTCACCTCCTCTATTGCCTCTTTGATGTCCTTAATAGCCAGTGAGATTGCATCTCTCTTTTCACGACTGCTCCTTACGACTGGAGCTGTCTCTTCTGAGGGACTTCTGGGGGGCTGCTCTCCCTCCTCTCCTTCAATTATTGGCTCCGGGGATTTGATTTCATCCATTTGACCATGGGACTCTGACTTGGTCCACTCTTCTTCATCATCGTCCTTGTCCAGACCCATGGCGACACGGTCCAGGCTCTGCGAGCTCAGACTCTCCTTCACCTCTGCCACAATCTGGTCAATGTCCTCATCCTGCTCGCAGCTGTCGACTCGGGGATAAGGGGCAAACTCTGCTTCCTTTTCAGGGCTGTCCGACTCTCCGTCAGATCGCTCATCGTAGTGGTGGAGCCTGGACCCAACTGCCTCCTGTTGCTCGTACAATTCACGCTCGAAGAACCTGAACTCTGCCCTACGCTGTTGTGGAGTCTGTCCCTCAGCTTTGGTCGAGGGGCCATCCGTGATCTCCTCGTAAACGTGCTCCTGAGGGGTGTATTCAGTGTAGGGCTCAGAGTATGGCTCTGGATCTTCTGTTGCTCCACCTTCACAGGCCTCTCCTTCTCCGGTGGGACTGCGGTACATGGGTTGAGTGTAAACATAATTGGAGTAGTTGGGGTTTAGCGTCTCTGCATCATGGGGCCTCTCGGCATTAGGCAGGGGATCTCGAGGTAGGGGCGGTGGCTGAGGTGGGTATTGGGGTTGGAGGTAAGCTGGACCACCGTGCTGTTGCTCTGACTCGGCACTCTCGGTGTACTCCTCAGCTTCAGGACGCAGTGGGATGCCGTATGTGCTTTCGTCTTCGGGCTCCGCTTCAAGAACCATGACTGCATCCCCCTCAGCCCGGTCCGTGTGGTTGTGGAAGCCACTCTCGGTGCTGGCGGATCGCGCCAAAGCGCTGCCACCATCTCCCTCGTCTTCCTCAGCCTCCTCTGGCTCTCTTGCGGGCGTCATGGCTTGCGTAGGGGAGATGAGATGCTGTTGATGTTCCAGCCTGTGCTGTTCCGTTCTCTCGGCATCTCTCTGCTGCCTCTCCCGCTGTCGCTGTCTCTGTTGCTGTGCCCGAAGTCGGGCCTCGTTGTCTCCCTGTCTGCGGTAGCGTGTCACTGCAGGTCGTGGTATGGGCTGCTGAACAGGTTGCTGCTCGGGATCACCATCTTCCGCTGGTCTCCTCGTGGGACGTGTGCGGTTCGTCCCACCGTTTGATCCCTCGTATCTGCGGTAGCGCGGGGCCCCCTGCTGTTGGGACTGGTAGTGGTTATTCTCTGTACCATGGTTGCTGTGGTGGTTGCGGGAGCGACCGGAGCGGCTGCCATCTCCGTTGTCGTGGCGTCTACGGTGGGATGAGGGGGGCTGTTGACCCTCGGGGCCTCTACGCTCCAGGTCTGCCTCAGCCGCCTCTCTCAACTCCTGGCCGTGTGGCGCCTCCTGGTGGCTCATGATTGGAAGAGGGGAAGGTCTACACACAGAGCATTACTTCTTCCAGCAGGACTCCACTCAAGCACGGCCTGCAGAAAAATAAACAAAAAACAGATATAAATCTTAAAACACTTAGAACTCAGTAAGATCATTGATCACAGTAGTTTTCCCTTAGGTACATATAAAGAAATTAATAATACTGTTGTAGTTTTTTTTTTTATCCATTTAAAAAGAAAAAGCATACAAAAATATGAAATGACTAGATAAATATGTTAAAAACAAATGAAGGTACTTACAAACAAATTTAAAGTGCAATTTTGACTGAATAATCTGTCTGTATGGCTCCACTCATTTCAGATTCCAAATACAAAATGCCACTAAAGTATCAGTATGCTTATGGGAACATGCCTGGGCTTACATTCTATAATGTTTTCCAATAAGAATTAAGACCAATTCACTTCCAATCAAATTTCTGAACAATTACCAGGGGGGGAAATCATCATTAGCCTTGTTGTAGCTGATGTTTTATTCATAGTGACATTTACTATACTGCCACATATCGAGATCAGCTCCCTCTGTATTTGATGTCCAAAGATTATGATGGTTATATAATATTCACACATGCTTCAACCAGTAAAGGCCTAAATTTAGTCAAAATCTATGAAACTGATGCAATTACGTATAACAGTAGAAGAATCTCTTAGCTTTATCACCTCGCCACTTTCATACCTCTTATAACTCTCATCAACATCAGCTCAGTCGGGATGTACAGCAAAACAAGCTGAATAACATAACACAGTCATTCTAATGAGAGAACTTGCATTCAAACCACTGTCAAGCAATCTGACCAGTCATGTTTGCACATTAACCTCTTCACTTTTTTCAATGTCGGAATGAGCTCCTGAGGGCATTCTTGTGCATTTGGTACAAGTGAAAGACAGCACTATTAGACCCGACTACATGTGACCTACTTCTGCAGTTGATGCCAGGAAAGTGGGTGATGCACTGCCATAAACAAAAGAAGAGTTCTCAAAATAGGGATGGGCCAGGATGGTCGTCCAACAACTGAAAAATAGTTATTTTAACGTGCATCGGAGATGTATCTCTCGCTGCTAGAAATTATTAAGAAATCTCACCATTTTGAATTTAAAACATGCTATCATTTACCGTGAATCATGTCATTCATAACTGAATGTGACGAGACAAGAAACTTTTGTGTTTTTGACATGTGTGAATAAGGGGGAATGTGTGCATATTTTAAAATATTATTTGCAAATAGTCTAAAATGATTAGGCTACTTAATAACTGCAAACAACACATTCTTATTTCTTTATTCCCTTAACCTCCTTTTAATCCTTATTTAATTATTTTAAAAATAACAAGAACCATTGGTAGGTTTGCCCTCCCCCAAGCACAAGAGTGAAACTCCTCCTATGTTTTTGTCCAAATGTCTTCATTAAATACCAAACTTTTGACATTTTTGGAGCATCATGATGGGTGACATTTTGCAGCATACTTCCATCTGGAAAGAGACAAGTGTGATCTCATATTAATCAACACAACAATTAGCAACTCTTTCATTTGTTTCCTGACAGCTTATTTGAATTAACAACAGTGTCTCTAAACCTTAGACCGATGGAGAGAAGAGAGAGCGATAGAAATATGCAGCAGCATACGGCCTACTAAAACATGAGTCACCGCTGCAAACATGACATCTGTTTCCATGCATGACGGAGTACGGCATGTTGTTAGAGATATCATGTCAGAAAGAAGTCATGGTACTCGTGTTCCTGTAAGGTGTGATCAAAAGTGATGGTGCGCATACCGAACCCGTCAGAAATCAGCAGTAATTGGTGTAGACTTTAGAAGGTGATGGAATGCCAGAGGAAATAAAATGACAGTGAGCCTCCTCCTGACTTCAGTTCAAAACATGTACAAAATCCTGAGGGCAAACCACATTGATGATCTGAGTCAGAGGACCAAAAAAACACACAAAAAACAAAAAACAACAACAAAAAAACATCTATACATGCAAATACAGGTATACACTATAGGGTAAGAGTTTCATTTGATATATTAATTATTAATATTTATTCAAAAACTAGTCTTATTATCGTACACAATTGTGACATATGTTTATTTAAACGATTTAAATTAATTAAAACATTTATAATATCTGAAAGTATTTTTTTACAGCAATTTGCTTATTTGCATTGTTATAAATATATATAGATTGACTTAGATAAACTGAATTCATTTTAAGTATTTCCAAAGTGATTTGCATTGATTTGTTTCAAAAATAAATGTACCAAATTTCAAAGAAGTTAAAGGAGTAGTTCACTTAAAAAAAAAAAAAAAAACTTTTGCTGATAATTTACTCACCCCCATGTCATCCAAGATGTCCATGTCTTTCTTTCTTCAGTCGAAAAGAAATTAAGGTTTTTGATGAAAACATTCCAGGATTTTTCTCCATATAATACTGGTAACCAAACGGTTCAAGGTCCAAAAGACAGTTTCAGTGCAAACTGCAAACTGTTCAAAGGGCTTTAAACAATTCCAGATGATGAATAAGGGTATTATAACCCTAAATGAACAAATCTTTTTTCCTGTCATCTCGGGAAAAGATTTGTTCATTTTGATGAATGAGTTTGAACGGGAGAGTCACAAACGCGCATCACAGAACAGAGCAAGGCGACCTTAACTTAAACTTTTTTTTTTTAAATGAGCAATCGTTTCGCTTGATAAGACCCTTATTAATCATCTGGAATCGTTTAAAGCCTTTTGAACAGTTTGCAGTTTGCACTGAAACTGTCTTTTGGACCTTGAACCGTTTGGTTCCCATTGAAGTCCATTATATGGAGAAAAATCCTGGAATGTTTTCATCAAAAACCTTAATTTCTTTTCGACTGAAGAAAGAAAGACATGGACATCTTGGATGACATGGGGGTGAGTAAAGTATCGGCAAAAGTTTTTTTTTTAAAAGTGAACTACTCCTTTAAGATTTTTTTTTTAACTGGAAACCCAAAGATAGAACACGACAGAAAATAACAATCTGCCAATGGTAGATGGTCTGCCAAAGTAAGTTTATACTGTTGTAAATAGTTTTTTTTTAACTGGAAAATCAGACATTAATACTGTTTCAGGAAATGACAATTTATGTATACATGAATGAAAAAATACATGTATAATTTAGATTAATTTAGCTTAAAATATATTTTCTGAAATATACATACACAGTTTTACTTGTCAAATACCTGAAAGTTGTTTTGAGGAAGATGAAATTTTTTGTTAAAAGAAAATAATACTGTTTCATAAGATTATTTTTGGCAGTATGCAGAGGAAGCAGCAGCTCAGTTGTTGAGGTGAATCCCCCTCCCCAGCCGGATTAAGATGGTATGTTCAAACACTTCCAACTCCTACCCTATCTAAGCAACTGAGTCATCCAGAATCCTTCATGGAGACATCCCAATATGAGAGAGTCTTGCCATGGGTGAGTCAGGCATATAAATCAACATTGCACGGACAGATCCCGAAGGGATGATTGTTTACCATTATTGATTTTGCACACACAACATCTCAGAGTCATAGGTTAACTCCTGCCTTTCCAGTAGCGCACTGCAGATGGGCTACACTGATTTGCTAAAGCATCTATAGAACTTCAGTCTGAGACTAAATGCTCGCATTTTGCAACCTTTTTTCCTTCCAGGGTGATTGAATTTTATTAGAGGTTCATCTTGCATTGGTGCTACAACCAATTTAACTAACTGATAAGCTCTGCCACATCTGTTGCATATGAGAAACATTGAATGCGCCAACAACGCTACTTGTTTGAGCACATGGACCATTTATTAGCTTGGCCCAAAACAGAACAGCGCAAACTAGAGCAAATGCGTTTACACGTTGACCGATCTCAATCACACAACCACTAAACAGCGCTGTGAGATCCAGTTAAAAGTATTCAAGTTTAGCACAGAGTTTTTTGATTCAAACAACAAATGTCTTTGTGATTTAAACTAAAGCCAGATAAAGCTTCAATGACATTCTCAAAAGCACTGATGCGAAAACAGGAGAAAAACTATGCCAAAATAATCCAGTTTGAAGTTTTAAATCCCTAAATCACCATCATTTACCATAGATTTACTGTAATAACTATCTGTAACCAAGATATTGTAGCAGAAATGTGAGATATAAATTATATCAATTTTATTATATTATTAATAAAGTAGACAACATGTATTGAGTAATGGAGACCTGCCACCCCAGGTCTACCAAATCAGGTTCCACTACTCTCAAATGTTAGAAAGGACCCATTGATCTATAGTGACTGGATTGCTCATTGCGTTCTAAACTGCCAGGAGTCCCAGCGGAAGTGCAATCTTATGACTCCCTTCAGACAGAGGGGACTATTGACTTAGAGCCAAAACCTTGACCTAAAATCACCTGTCAGTCGCACACTATTAGTTTTTAAGATATATACTGTATGCATGTACATTAATTGTTACTTCGGATGTTATCTGTAATGTTTATGGTCTTTTTCACGCAGGATATGCATTATAAATCACACTTCAGACAAAGGTAACTACTAACACAAAATAGATTTCTTTATGTAGACTATGTAATTATGCAGTAAATATTAAAGGGATACTCCACTTTTTTTGGAAATAGGCTCATTTTACCACTCCCTCAGAGTTAAACAGTTGGGTTTTACCGTTTTCTAATGTATTCAGGCGGTTTTCTGATATTTAGAAGAATATCAGTAAACAGACAGTTTCTGGTCTCATTGACTACCATAGTAGGAAAAAAATATACTATGGAAGTCAATGAGACCAGAAACTGACTGGTTACTGATATTCTTCTAAATATCAGAAAATCGGCTGAATGGATTCGAAAACGGTAAAACCCAACTGTTAAACTCTGGGGGAGTTGTACAATAAAATGAGCCTATTTCCAAAAAAAAGTGGAGTATCCCATTAAGCATAAACATATGGGATTATTCATTTAACCAATGTTAAAGTGGTTTTCTTTACTGCTTCGAAATACATACTGTTAATGAAATCACTGTTGAATCATTTGCAGTTACAGTATGAAT